ATATAAATATGTGTCTCCTATAAGCCTCTATCGATTGCTGAAACCACACTCGCTATCTCTTTGTGTTCTTGAGTTATTTCAAAACTATCCGAGTCCGCTGACTTTTTGGACAGACAATAGTTATTTTATTGTTTGTTCAATATAGAGGAGAGAACAAAGCAGGCGAAGTTAGTCTGGCAACTAACTTATCTATGAGTCAATGCGTCCAGAACCTACTAAGTATCCACTGTGATTGTTATATTCAGCTGTGAACTGTTCCACAATCATGTTGTGATTTTCTTTCTTTCTCGCGTGTACGCGATAGAGGAACAACATTTTCGAATGAAGCAAGAACGCCATCGTAAGTGTAGTTCTTGTTTTCTCCGTATCCGATTTCGAATTGTACATAGTTTCCTTCGTTCAAGTAGACATTGTCGAACGCCAATAGACCGACATTGCGTTTGAGCCACAGCGAACGTAACTCGACATTGTTGATAAAAAGATGAATATCTGTCGAGGGTCCTTCAATCTTTAGCCCAGCTGTGGTAAAGAAAACAGCATTAACATCGTAAGTGTCAGCGGATGGGACAGTGAAGCGAATGCAGGCAACTGTTCGCATACTATGGTGTTTTCATTGATGAAGCTAAGGGCCTTTAGACTGTGTGAACAGTGTTTTGTGAATGATGTTTCGCTCGAGTATTGTTCGGACCTGGATGAAAGAGAAGCTGACTCGGCGCCAGGTTGTACTCGTCCAATCCAAATTGGGCGAATTTGTTCTTGTTCGTATTGTGCAGAATCCAGCCCATACTATGAATTTGGTTCGAAAAAACACTGCTATAAAAAACTGCGACACCAGTCATTCGTGGATCCGTATTATAGGATGGGAAGTGGCCATAAACGTTTGGTATGTAGCTTTTGTACAACTGGAATGAAAGATGATTGTCGGGCTATACAAAGCCGAAGGACCATGGTCCATTAGGATTCTGACCATTAAGCAATTCGTTGGGTCGATAGATGACTCTGTTCGCATTGGAGTGGTGGAGCACTAACATGAAGTACAAGATCTGCCAAAACATATTGGTTGGACAAAGATGTTTTGCTGTGCAATTTGCTACTCTTGCAGTTAGTTATATACATATCGACTGTTCTCTTCTTTTCTTTTCCTTTTTACGATTGGCAAAAGTGTATGACATTGCTTGATAACATCGATATCAGTAAGAGGGCAAACATCGTATTTGCCTTTCTTAAGTTCCGACGTCATGATTTCCACTTTAAATATTTATCTTGCGTACATCACCATGGGCAAGCTATACCTGGTAAGACGAAGAAGCCAAGCTACCAGCAGTCAGTAGTGACTGATCGCTGAATTCGTGCATTTTCACCGAAGGTGAATTTCGCCGATTTCAAGATTGCCCAAAAATATTTTTCGCCGACGATGAAGTTCGCCGATTCCCATATCGCCGAATGAGTTGATGACCGAAACCAATCCGAATCGAATATAATCGATTATGTCTATTACAACTTATTTCAAGTAATTAGATAATATAGAGTCAGATGATTGCCAGTTGAGATGGTTACCAAGACAATTGGTTACCAACTCAGTTCCTTGTCAAATTGAAAGGTTCCTTCAGTTACCCTCACCCTCGGGATATTTTCAATCGAAAACGTAAAGATGTTACATATGAAGAAAGCGGGTGTGGGTGTAGGTGTTGATGTGGGTGTGGGTGTGCGTGGGTGTGCGTGTGGGGGTGCGGCTGTGGATGTGGGTGTGGGTGTCGGTGTGAATGTGGGTGTGGGTGTGGGCGTGGGTGTGGGCGTGGGTGTGGGTGTGGGTGTGGGCGTAGGTGTGGGCGTAGATTAAAAAAGCACTCATCCACACCCACACCCACACCCACACGCACCCACACCCACACCCACACCCACACTCACACCCATACCCACACCCACACCAACACCCACACCCACACCCACACCCTGATGAATTTACAAATATAAAATCAGCATTAAAAGTAATCTTGCAATAACGTATCTCAGTTTTTGATCAAGTTCAGACGTTTATTAGTAAACAAGGTGATATAGCAGTAACAAATGAATGCAAAGAAGAAGAAAATGATGATGATGCTGATCATTCAGAAAGCAGAATTGTGAGATCTGATCAGTTCTGGATGCATATGTTTTCTCTTACTCAATCTCTAAATTTCAAGGAACTCGTATGTTTTTTGTATTCTTTACCATGTAGTAATGCTTATGTTGAGTCAGCTTTTTCACAATTAAAATATTTATGTAATGATAAAAGGAATTGTATGACAATTGAACTTCTATCAGCTGAATTAAAAGTATGGTTTAATTCATCATTATCATGCATTGAAATGTATAAACATGTTTTATCTAATCAAGATTTGTTAAAAGCTATTATATCAGATGAAAAGTATGGGTTCAAAAGAAAGTGTATCTAATAATTGTATTTATTTGTTTTTCTTGATATTGTACAATCGAATTGAATAATTCTATTTATTTGTTTAATCGATTGTTTTTCTTGATCTTGTTTAATAAAAATTGAAATTTGATATACAATTTTTAATTATTATATTGAATAGAAGCTTTATAGTAGATTTACGTAAGAAATATCTTTTTTGCTTTTTTTTCTGCTTTTTGATGATGGAATTTCTGTCATTTTCTGCTTTTTATAATTTTTTTTCTGCCTTTTGGACTTGAAAAGGTGGCAGCACTGACCCGCTCTACAAAATTGTCTAAGAGACTAATGCTTGATTTCTCACAGAAAACGTGAAAAAAGTTTTTTTTATTTAAAAGCATTTTTTCGCTGGAATTTTGCTGAAGCGTCGTTATTAGGGTCAATGATTTTGCTGGGAATCGTTAGTAGGGTTCGATTCCCTAATAACGACGGTTGGGCCTCTTTATCGTAGACCGCTAATTTCTCGATAATAACAAGTAAGTAAAATGAAACCTATATATCATTGGAAAGAGGAGACTTCAAGGATTCTCCAAATATAAAAATATTTTTAATTGGATGCACAATAGCTGAGAACCGAACGAAATAAGGTAAGACAAAATTTTCCCGTCGTTATTAGGGAAATTGACTGTAGTTCTCGCAGAAGAATCCATTCTGAAAAACTTTACTCTCCAACGTTTCTTTTAATTAAAGAACCAAGGACGAATCTAAAAAAAATTACCAAACCTGTTATCGATAGTTGTTGATGCACTGTATTTTTTGTATTTCTTTGTTAGAAATCGATCTATGCAGCTCAAAATAATTGTGAAATCGAAACTTTTCAAGTCGCAATAGCGTTGCAAGAACTTTTTTTAAGAGGTATTTAGCCTTTGGTTTTTCCTCGCTCTTACGTTAGATTCATACGAAAAAAATGTATTTAGTAGAAAATTTGTAGTTCAAACATTGCTCTTTCCAACAAGAAAGTTTGATTAGTTTAGAAGTTGACAACATGATCTAACATAGCTTGACATTTGCTCAAAGAAATTTGCACCACATATTATATTTTGCTCAGGTTATGGATATTCCAAGTCTTGTTGTACAAAATATTCGTTCTAGAAAAAATTGTTTGTACAATGCTCTTCAAAATGAAATTCTCTACAAAATGATGAATAAATCGCCTCTACCGACGTATACGCATAAGTACTCAAGCAATTAGTTTCTCGGTGCTACTACACTCTAAGAAAAATCCGTCGTGTAGGAAACCCTTAATGGGTTTCCGAACTTGTTACTATCGGAAACCTTTTAAGGGTTCCCGAGAAAAGGTTTCCGAGCACTCGGAAACCCTACATTAGCATATTTTACTACCACAACACACCAACCATCGGAAACGCATTAACTGTTCCCGAGCAGGTTCCAGAACAAGTAGATACCTTACTTCGGTCAATTAAAATAACCCTTACATTTGCCACGGAAGCCCTCACACTCTCAGTCCACGCATGAATATTAATGCAATTTCATTACAGACCTAAATAAAGAAAAAAGGATCAGATTGAATTTTATTGAAATCAATTGTCTTACCAGAAATTGTAATCGATATTCATATAGACCTAAATAAACAAAAACAAATTAGATTTAAGTTTATATTAATCAGCTGACTTCCCAGACATTTTGGTGGTTATTCACATAGGCCTAAATAAACAAAAAAGAATCAGCTTTAAGTTTATATAAATCAGTTGACGTACCAGAATTCTTCATGGACATTCATATAGACCTAAATGAAGAAAAAACAATCAGATTTACTTTTATTGAAATCAGTTGACTTACCCAAATTATCAATGGACATTCACATACACCTAAATAAACAAAAAACTAGATTTATAAAGTTGATATAAATCAGCTGATTTACCCAACATTTTAATGGTTATTCATATAGACCTAAATAAACAAAAACAAATTAGATTTGAGTTTATATAAATCAATTGACTTACCAGAAATTGTAATCGATATTCATATACACCTAAATAAACAAAAAGAAATTAACTTTAGGTTTATATAAATCAGTTGACTTACCAGAATTATTGATGGACACTCATATAGACCTAAATGAAGAAAAAACAATCAGATTTACTTTTATTGAAATCAGTTGACTTACCAAAATTATCAATGGACATTCATATACACCTAAATAAACATAAAAAACTAGATTTATAAAGTTGATATAAATCAGTTGACTTCCCAGAATTAGTAATGGACATTCGTATAGACCTAAATAAACAAAAAGAAATTAGATTTAAGTTTATATAAATCAATTGACTTACCTGACATTTTAATGGATATTCATATACACCTAAATAAAGAAAAAAGAATTAGCTTTAAGTTTATATAAATCAGCTGACTTACCAGAATTAGTAATGGACATTCATACAGACCTAAACAAACAAAAAGAAATTAGCTTTAAGTTGATATAAATCAGTTAACTTACTCGACATTTTAATGGATATTCATATAGACCTAAATAAAGAAAAAAGGATTAGCTTGAAGTTTATATAAATCAGTTGACTTACCAGAATTAGTAATCGACATTCATGTAGACCTAAATCAGGGGTGGCATTTCTCATTTTTTAAATGGGTTTACAAAAGTCAAAATGGGGTACATTTGGGGTACATTCCAATTTAAAAAGGGGTACATCAATGGGGTACATGATTTTACTCCTGAAGTAAAGTATTTAATTGAGAAACCTGCTGAAACGACACTGCTTTTGTAGAGAACAGAATCATATTTCACTGTTGTTTTTCAATTAGATAGGCTTAACTGTTTACACTGTTTCAATTAGCTTCGTGTTAATTGATTGTTGAGTTTGAAATTGGAAAAGAACATTATAAATAGACAACGAAGATTACCATCAAATTCATTAAAGAGAAAATCTGCAATTAGAGATATATCTAATAGAATATGTATTTGCCAAATAAAAAAGAAAAATTAATGAAACACGGAGAAATCAGATAAGGAGAAATGTTTAAGTCTTATTTCGGTGTTTATAACGATAATAGTATGAACAACCAAGTATTTCAATCCGACACTGAACAAAGCAGATGTAGAAATCTATCGATCATTTGTTAACTGATACTTTTTTAGATAGATAGAAGTGAAAAGACTAGTGGGAAAACACACTTTCTTTACCTTGATATGGTGTTTTATCACATTCCAGACTTAAAAAACGAAATGGGGTACAAAATATGTACCCCTGGGGTACGAAATTTTCTGGGGTACAAAATGTCGAAATGGGGTATGTACCCCAAAATGGGTACGGTTGGCAGCCCTGACCTAAATAAAGAAAAATAAATTAGATTTAAGTTTATATAAATCAATTGACTTACCCGACATTTTAATGGATATTCATATACACCTAAATAAACAAAAAGAAATTCGTTTTAAGTTTATATAAATCAGTTGACTTACCAAAATTAGTGATGGACATTCATATAGACTTAAATAAAGAAAAAAAATTAGATTTAAGTTTATATTTATTGAAAGCTATGAACTACACATATATAATCAAACATGTTGCATGAAAGCTCTAAGTGCTTTCGATTCTCTAAGAATTCCAGAAATGAAGAACAGAACCATGACCCAAACATGAATTTGAAACGCGAACTTTCTGCATTGGAAAAATTGTTATGCTCTAAAACGCTTTAGAGACTCATTGTGATAGTTTCCAAGCCTAGAAAGTGTGCAGTAGTTAAGTGAAGTTGGAAAGCTGATTTCTGTTTTTCACTATACGTTTTCGAATTTCAGAAATTTTAGAAACCGTTTAGGTTTGCGAGAAAGCCATTCGAAAACGCTTTTGGTTTCCGAGAAAGTGATTCGGAAACCGAAAGGATATTCTCGGGTACCACTTAGGGTTTTCGAGCTTTCGAAATCTCTTTAGGTTTCCGAGAAAGTAGTTCGGAAACTCTTTTTATTTTCGAGAAAGTGATTCGGAAACCAAAAAGGTATTCTCGGGTACGAATTAGGGTTTCCGAGCTTTCTGAAACTCTTGAGGTTTCCGAGATAGTGATTCGGAAACCGATAAGGTATTCTCGGATACCTCTTTAGATACCCAAACAACTTTTAGGACAGAATTGGCTTCCTAAAATACCCAACAGGTTTCCGAAAATACTAATTTGGTTTGCGCCAATGATGAAAAGGTATTCTAGAATACCCTACGCGCATCGAATTCTGTACTCTCGAAAACCAAAAGGTTTCCGAAACCTCGGAAACCAATACGGTATTTTCGAAAACGATTTCGGTGATCTGAAACCCTTTCGGAAACCAAATAAGGTTTCCGAACTGATTTTAGTTTCCTAGGAGACGGAAATTTTTTAGAGTGTATCGTCACAAAGCCCATACTGTCTGTATCGTGAAAGTGAGGTTAAATTTTGATTTTTGTAGTACCAAATTATTCGAATGCCTGCAAACTAAGATGCAACAGTTGATAAAACTTTATGCCTAAGAACGTCTTTTCTAATGGAGCCAAATTTGCGGGTTATCGTCCAGAATCCTTTTCACTGTCGTAGCTTCATCATCTCATCCCCAAAGATCGATACAGATTACAACTGATTACCAATACAGACATAGTCAAGGGCTTGATTAAGGCACGGGTACTGATTACTTCGTCTCTTTTACTTTTGAGATTCTTGCATGGAATCAACCTTCCTTGAAGTATTATGCTAGGCTCCTACCGACAATAGACATTCGAGTGACTTTTACAATTGTACTTAGAGGTACTAGTAAAGGTGATGGAAAATTTGAATTATTCTGAAAGGCTTTCTTAGAACGATCCATGATATGCGAAATTGGACATATATACTCGCCTTTTTCCACGTTCAAGATACTTCATCTCTGCGAATACAAACCGCTGCATCGTGTTTCACATTCTAATTTCTTAGACAGCCGTATTAATAACTTTTATTTTCAAAATTGACCAAGGATATTAGACAAATTAATGTAAGCCTAAAGTTGAGAAGGAAAAATCGCCTGTAGCAGATTTATTCCTTTATTAGATATACAAGTTCATTGGTTTCACTTGAAATGGTTCAATTAAATACAACAATAATACTTAAAACCAATCCAGCAGTAGGCACCATCACCAGACTTGTCGACTTCTATGGTTGTTGTTCTTGGTGGACAGCCAGCAGTGATAAAACAAAGCGGCGCGTTTCCTGTCCAAAAACATTTGCGACCCGATGGTTCCAAATAAACTTGAAATTTTTCTCCTTCAATGTTAACTTCATAGCTGAGAATTCTTTCTTTTGTGGTGTACACATGATAAAATTCAGCCATCATAACCAATATGATAAGCCAAAGCGTTCGGTAATTTTGCATTTTGTATGACTAAAATAATGAGAACATATGTAACGGAAATGTAAGTTAGATGGTACATGTGCCAGAGGTCAAATCGAATCGGGTTTTACTGGTGTGAGTTCGAGGATTGGTTAACTTTTCGATTGTTAAGATAAATGAAACCTTCAAGGGGAGTTTAATGGTGCAGGTCAAAAATGCTTGTCTTTGAAGTTTAACCAAGACGAATGAAAATACACACATATGAAAAACAGTAATCAACAGCAGAAATCACGAACCAAATAATTTGTACAGGATGTCCCAAAAATCCGAACGAATAAAAAAGTTGAATATCTTCATCGCTCTTTCCTCAAATGAGCGCTTTTTTTTCTCGTTGATAGAGGTTACTTTAAAGTTTTGTTTCGTAAGAAAATTGTTAACAGATACTAGTTTCAACCATCACTTTTAACTTCGATACCGAAATGTACACATTTACGATTTGTCAAACAATGCTTTCGAGGAAGAGTCGCCGAGATGATTTCGAGCCCATATTATGATTCGAAGCTTTTGATGGCATGTTTTTCCCACTGCTAGAGGACCATTGGAGTATAAGACCTCCAAAAAGTTTATGCTCTTTGGCAGTTTTGACTGGAATATGGAATTTTTAGTCGATTATCTCCCTGATGACTTCAATTCTTCGAAGAAAATTAAGGTTTCGACTTTTGACATGAAGCTTTGGTCAAAACGAGATCTAATTCAAGCTAGCTTTTGAAGAAAGTTTTAGAATTTTTGGATATAGTTTTCTCGGAATATGAGTTTCGTAAATTTCTCACAGCATCGATGGAAAAGCGCCTAAATTTTGAAAAATTGATATTCCGAAAAGACTATACCCTAAAATTCTGAAACTTTTTACTGAAGCTGGTCTGAGTGAGACCCCGCTTTAGCCCAAGTTTCATGTCAAAATAAATCATCTAGGGAAATTTCCTTCGAAAGTGCTTTTTTAGAAATCGAAATTGTGTACATTTCGATATTGAAGTCAAAAATGATGGTTGAAAATAGTATCTGTTAACGGTTTTCTTATGAAACAAAACTTTAAAGTATCTTCTATCACCAAGAAAAAAATCCGTCCATTTGATCAATGGGCAATGGAGATATTCAATTGCTTTATCCGTTCGAATTTTGGGGACACCCAGTATTATTCAATCCTGTAAGGAAACTAGTATGCTTCAATTATAGTTATAAACATACATACTCAGCAGAAGCATTAAAATGCAAAGCAAAAATATAACTTTCTATGGGAAAGATGACTAAGAAAAATGTCTGAATCTTTTTTCGATGAGAAAAGTGCTGTAGCATATTTTCACTTTTTAGGAACCTTGCAGTGGAAGGATTAAAACTGCTTGGTAATGTTTGCTTTTCCTACGAAAGAACGATTATCAGAAATGAAATAATGATTCAGTTTAAGAGAAAAGTTGTTCGCTTCATCGTTCTACCGTGTATGTAGTAAGATGAAGGTCTATGAAGAAAGCGCTTTGCTATGGGAGAAGAAAAATGAATTTCTGATTTTATTTGTATGTGGCATGCAAATGATCACATGAAAGGAAATGAAGAAAGTACCTCGAAACAAGAATACATCGATTTGCACGTAGAGATCAACTCCGTCTTTGTTTGCCGCTTATACTTATTTGGTACATAAAGAGCGAATAGCCTGTACCAGATGATCAACGAAAAAAATATATGAATTCGATAAACGAATTTGCTTTTTCTCTATTTTTCACTTTTCCATTGGTGATACAGTGACAGAAGAAGAAAATAAATAGCTTTGCTTTAAAAGTCTTAGGAAAAAATGTTTTGTTCTATGCGTTTCAGTTCCTAAAGAACTATATACGTGTATAATCGTATTAGAGTACTGTGATAAAGAAACATGTTCACTTTTTCCTTTAGCGTCATATAACTTCTAAAATATTATTTTTCTCTAAGACCTTCGTTCCTCTCTTCATCCTATATATATAAAGATTACCATTCATCTATCCAAAGAGACACTTTTTTCGTTTTCTATCATTTTGTTTATTAGTGAAAAGCTCTTCTTGACACTACTTATGCATTTTCTCTGGCATATTTTATTTTGCATTATATAATCTAATTCTTCAAATGCCTTTAATATATTATTCAGATACGTACAGTATCATACAACAGAACAAAAAGAAAACAATAATAGCAAAGATGAAAGAGAGAAAATGAACAGAAAAGAGATCACGAGCACGATCATGGTAAATCATTGCTTCTAAATCTATAACTTGGAAACATTTTTCTATTGTCATAAAGCATTATTCTGATCGATAGGAATCATTTTTTTGCTGCTCTCATGCATTTTTCCGCTGGGTTTTCATTTTTCGAAAAAGAATGCATGTGTTTATGTGTTCGTTGATTGCTTCATTTTGGTTTACATCGATATGCATCATGTCTTGTTATACTCAACATTATTTTTTCAACTGATCAGATTATTTTCCACTGCGGTTGAGTTCGGTTCTTTTTCGGTCCAAGCGCATCGGAAACATTGAATCGAGCAGCTGAACCTCCCAAAAAAAGAAGGTAGTTGGTACATTTCTTAGAGTCTATCACTATTTTTCGTCAATATTTTTGGATCAGCATTGTTTGGTTGTGGCAAGTGTGAAAATGCAAGTTTGCTTAAGAAGCGTTAGGACTTTTGGTAATTCAAATAAGATCAAATACTCGTCATCTCAATCATGGAGTATGATCTACTTTTGTGATCTATCTTGGAATTAATCATTTTTTAAAAGCTTTAATTTGTTTCTAATTATAAGAAAGCTCAGAACCTGTATGAGCAATTATTAAGAACAACAATGGACCTCAAGAAACTTCAATAGTGAATTCTCTGACATTTTGCTTATCCGTAATCCTATGCATTCGAACGGAATTTTTTTACTCACAATATATTTTTATTAGTTTTGTTGCTATTCGCTTACTATTTTTCTTTTTCAATTTCTGTTTGTTTTAGATTAAATTTATTATTTTAAGAATTAATTTAACTGACAAATATATCTGTCAGAAAGACTTCAGCGGATTAAAAGACTCCCTTAAGGAAATCAAATTTTGAAAAATAATTAATGGACCTTAAACGTGTCAGTTCCGAGTTAT